TTAGTGAGAAAATAGAGAAAATTCATTTTAAGCCTAAAAAATTCCTTTTTTTCTTTTTGACTTATGAAAATTAGGAAAAAAAATGTTTTTAATGAGTCCTAAGTGATTAGAGAGCAATTAGACACATTTTGAAATATTTTGGTATTTTTGGGATTTCAAATTATTTAAATTATTTTAAATTCAAAATAAGGTTAAGAAATTAATTATTTTACCAAAAGTAACTTTTATTTTTTCTAAGTGGCTCTAATTATAAGGAATTCAGAAAATAACTTTTCAAAATTTTCCCAAGTATATTTACTTTATTATAATTATTTTTGTACAAAAATGCAAAGTTTCTTAGAAATTCAACTTTAGTGTTTAAACTTAATCAAATAATTTTTAAAGTTTTACAGTGTATAAATATGATTTTTATGTACAGTGTGGGATTGATTTTGAAAATTTTTTACAAGTATTTAATTTACATAAATTAATAGAATATATTCATATTTAATTAAATATAGAAATTTACAAGGTAATTCAAAAAATTATGATATTTTTCCTAGACTTCTCTGACCACAAAAAATCAACTAAAATTATTCTCATATTTTTTTAAGTGATATTTTGATTTATATAATTAAAAAAAGCCAAAATTTCCACTTTAGCTTGAAAATTAGGGCTAAAAGCATAGAGATACTCTCTGACCTTGGAAAAATCAGAGAACATCTCCTCTATAATGGGGAATAAACCCTCAAAATTTCAAGCCATGGTGAAATATTTTTTGCCATGAAAAATTAAAATACCACAGAGGGTATTTAATTCATTAAAAAAAATATTTTTGAAAAATAATTTTTATTTTTAGTCCACATTATTCTCCTCTATTCACTGAGTAAGAGTGTATTTTTCTTTTATTTTTATAATTTTCTAGAGAAATATATGGATTTTTTAAGTTTAGATATTAAAAATAATTCAAAAATCTCATATTCTTCTACTTATCCACACGACACCAACTCATCCTACGATGGCTTCGAACTCACACGTGGTGCAC